CTCGTCGACGCCCGTTCTTCCGCCGGCGTCCACTCCACCGCCCGCTTGCTCCGGAGGCGGTGAAAGCGACGCAGACGGAGCAACTGCTTCCGAAGCCTTCTTCTTCGGTGGCATGTCGATGAAGACGATGAAGATTTAGCTCGCGCGCACGCCGGATCGGGTTCACACGATCTCGACGCCCCCTACCTGGCGCGCCAAAGATGTCGGGGAAACTGATCCACGAGCACCTATGGGGACCGGCGGGCCGAGCCCCTTTCGGTTCGGTGAGGGCGGAGGTCGAGCAAAGAGCGGATCGAGGCGGTGCGCACGAGCAGTTTACCCAGGTTCGGGCCGCACGGATGCGTAAAACCCTACTCCTGCTTGCTAGATTGTATTGAATTCTTGCTCGGGAGCGAGGGACGCTACCAGACCGAGCATGAGAGTGTTTCTGGTGTCTCCAATGAGCCGAACCAACCGAACCCCTTCTACGTTGTGCATGGGCCTCCTTTTATACTCTCAAGGGGTCACCGACAGGTGGCAACATAGACGAGAGGGGTAGAAATGGAAGAGGATGCAGTAGGTGCAGCTACCGCTACTGTAGATACAGTGCACCCTACCTAACTCTGACGGCAGGGGACAGGGGCATTGAATGCCCGTCTGAGTTGTCTAAACAGTGCAAAAAAGTGACCGTTAGGAGCGCCTCCGTTTGCCACGATGGCCTCCTCTTCATCTCTGCTTACCACCGCGTACCCCTGGCTGCACAGGCTTCCGCCACGCGCCCCTGAGAAAGCCTCACGGCGACTTGCGGGCGGGTGCACTGGAGCGCGGGTATAGAGTGGCAGCTGGCCCCCGGCAAGTACCTTGCCAGGGTCGTTGTCTTGTCGCGTCCGGAAGCTTGTCGCTCGCCGGATCTTGCCGGGACGTGTGGTGCGTCGCAGCAAGTTTCTTGTGGTGCCGTGGTTGGCCTTCCCGGCAAGCTCCTCTTGCCGGGGCCTTGTCTCTTCTCGGCAAGCTCCTCTTGCCGGGGCCTTGTCTCTTCATCTTAAATACTTTGTTCTTGAGTGGCTCCAAGGGAACCCACGGAGGACCCTGGCGGTCGTCCGGCAAGCCTTGCCGCGGGGTGCTGCAACTGCCCGTGCACAAGTTCGGGATACTAGGGTACCCCTACTCTAGTACACCGACAAGCGGCACTCTTGGTTTACCAAGTTAAGACCTGGTTCAATCTTTTCCTTCCAGAGCACGCATATGCATTGCATATCACATCCCGCATATCATGCCATGTTTTGCATCATGTTGCTTGCGCATTGCACCGTGGTTGATTGTGGTTCCCTTTGCTTGTGTTCTTGCCTTGGGTAGAGCCGGGAGACGAGTACGTGATCGAGGAACCCGTTGAGTACGCTTACGAGGATCAAGCTTATGTCAGCTCGGAGAACTTTATAAGCAAGATGACCATACCCTCGAAATCACTTCTATCTTTGCTTGCTAGTTGCTCGCTCTATTGCTATGCCGCGATACCTACCACATGCTTTATCATGCCTCTCATATTGCCATGTCAAACCTCTAACCCACCTTGTCCTAGCAAACCGTTGTTTGGCTATGTTACCGCTTCGCTCAGCCCCTCTTATAGCGTTCACTACAAGAAACCTGTTAATCGATGACAGTCCCGAGCTGTCATGGATCAATGAGAAACCGTCATGGATGTGCACATGTGACGGATTTGAAATCCATCATGTATATCGCGTCATAATTTGGCACATCACCTTCCTTGACGGTTTCTGGCCGTCATAGATCTGTCCCCAGGCCCGCTGGGCCCAAGATTCCATGACAGACTAATCCATCACAGATTTACGTGACCTGGTAGCAGCATGGACCTGAGGTGGCGTCTATGTGGATCTGACGTGCAGCCAACATGGCCCATCTAGTATCCAGGCCAATTAAGGTTTTAGCCCAATAATTTTGGTCCAGTCCAACCCATTAGCCACTTATTTCAGTTCTACCCATTAGAATACCTATTCTTTTAGTCCAACCATTAGCCCATTTTTTGTCCAGCGTGTTTTTCATGCAACCCAATTGCAACAAGACAAATTCATTCACACAATAGCATCTGGCCACAAGAAAATACAAACTTCCAACAATCTAGTCTGATTTCTGAAAACAAATATTTGTATCACAACATATATAGAAAGCGCTATAAGCATTTTTTTTATTTCAAGTATACTATAGTACTAGCTGGATTTAATCTCCAACACTGCACCACTAATGCTTCCAGGTAGTTATTCGAAGCCAAGTAATTCCTGCTAAAAACTTCAATCCCCAGCTGAGTGCCAACCTGCATAGAATCCAAAACATATACAAAATTATAGTAAGTAATAACAGCCAGCCCCCAAATGAATCTACAGAGTAATAATATACTCCCTCCGTAAAGAAATATAAGACCGGTTAGATCACTAAAGTTGTGATCTAAACGCTCTTATATTTGTTTACAGAGGGAGTAGTTGATTTTCCAAACAATTTTTAAGCAAAGGATGGAGAGATCATTTCTTATTCATCAAGTACCACAAAAAATGAAGTTTATATACACTGATAGGGCTTGGTCTAGCAAAACAGATGGTTCATACAATACAGGATGGTCCATACAATACAATGTTCTGTAGTTTGTAGTTAGAAAACCAGAAAAAGTAATACTGGAGGCATACTTTCTTCACCAATTAAAGCCAATTCCTATAAAACTTGCTTTTTTTCATGTAAAATAAAAAACACTTAAAAGCAAAACATTTTAGGCAATTAAATGATCCACCTAGTGATCTCATTATTCTAATAGTAGAATTCTTTACAAAGACCAAATATTCACGAGCATGAGAGAACTTCAGTTAACCAATTTAGAACAAGGGAATAGCTTGAGAGCAGCCGGCTGATCCAGCACGGGCGTCCGTCGCCTCCGGAGCGTGACACGTGTCCCATTTGTAGCTCGCACACCACACTATTCTAACTACCTGCCACACATGTTTTCAGCTTTGGCATACTGAAACACATGCAATAGTGACTCATCATGTTCCAAACTACATGAAAGTATTGACCACAATAAAGAAATGCAATATTACTTCAGGTTTTAACAAAAATATGAAGTGGATACACCACCACAACTGTTTGAACATTCACAGCTGACCAAACCTGACGGATATATAAGACGCTCTTCACAGTGCCACCATCACCTATGTCTCTGTTTGCTCAGTAATAATTGCCATTGGCATAATATTACTAATGATAAAAACAAGTGTTTTTTTTTTGCCCAAACAATGAGTCCATGGTGAGATTTACCATTCCTAAAAGAACCAAGAAGTGGTCTAACATAGATAGACAGTACACTGTATAACAAGTGAGCAATAGTAAACGCTGACTGAACTCCAATTGGATTGGGGTAATCATTGTCTTCCAAAATTAAAATGTTTGAAGTTATATCAACATTTTTTACATTTACACCTAGTAGTTAAATACTGTTGCATACATAAATTGATATTGAGTAATTTCAGATTTACATGACAATGTAAAAGAAGAAGACAAAGCCAAAATTCACCTGCACAGGAATGGAATCCAACTTGGCATGTGAGCCATTTCGAGATATAACAGCTGAATGTGGGTTGTCACTCCAAGATACGCGGTCCAGGTTGAAACTGACCAAATACCTTGCAGTAGAAAGAAATAAGTAATTAAGGTTCCTAAGATACAGTATAATGAACAACACTAGGGAGCAAGGAAGCACCGGTGGAGCTTCGCGAGGGCAAAAGCGTGCCATGGCCCGCCCAGCCGCTGAGGTAAAAATTAACTATATACGCGCAGGCCAGCCCACGACAGCCTCGCTCGCATGCTGTCTCGCCTCGTCAAGCTTCTCTCCTTGCATCCAGCCTCGGTCGCCCTCGATGCTAGGGCACGAGCCACGCAAACAGCTGCACGGACGGAAAGAGAGAGGTGGGCCGGAGCAGCAAATTAAGGTCCGGCTGCCGGTCGCAGCGAGTAGCAGCGCAGAGCGGTGCGGACTGCGAATGCCGCGGTGGCTTGGCCATACCCCAGGCGGCAGCTAGTAGCGGCTGCGCCCAGCCAGGCGACGGCAAGTGCAGACCTAGGCGACGAGCGCTGCTGGCACTAACACAGGCACATGCACACCCCGCAAACTCTCATCTCCCAGGCAGTCTAATTTCCCTGTAAAAAGTAGGCTATAGCACTCTGAGATTCGGTGAATTGATAATACACATGCTAATTTAGGTAGTAGATAATTGCCATGGGCACTGGGTAGCAACGCTAATCAACGCAAAATCGATTTGGTTTTTAAGTGAAAAAAGAGATGTACGTTACGGATGGAGTTGAGGAAGACTTTTCAGCAGCAGCTCATCATCCTTTCCTTGGGTTGATTTTTTCATATTTTTTAGATTGGCCTGCTCAGGCTTTTCTTTGTAGCTCCGCCACTGCAAGGAAAGAAAGAAATAGATAAACTGACCAGAAGCCATTGTCGCAGATGGACACACAAGCAGTTCTGACAGAGAAATCCAGAATAAACAAGCATGAGAACCCCTGAAAATCATCAATAAATAAGATGGAGTATGGTGTCTCGATAGTATTCTGGGAAGAAAAAATAAGTTTCTCTCCATGAGTGTTTCTTTGTGCATACAAGAACACATTTTGCACACCAGCCGGCCCCCGCGTCGTCCTCCCCCAGGGCGACTCGGGCGGCGCCGCTCCTCCCGCCGCAGCAGGCCCCCTCTCTCCAGCTTCCCCTCCCCTCGCCGCCGCCAGACGGACTCCTCCGGGCGAAGCCCCTACGGATCCGGCGGCGGCGGGGACCTGGCGACCCGGGCTGCTTTACACGGGCGGGGGCTCGTGTTCTGGCGGCCGGCACGGCGCTTCTCCGCGCTTGCTGCGGGTGCTCGGCGGCGGCTTGGCGGGGGTGTTGGCTGCGGAGGTGGGCGGCCTGGAGGTGCGGGGCGTGCACGGAGTGCGGGGCGGCTCAGATCGGTCGCGGCGCCGGCATGCTCTCCTCTGCCCCGGATCTGGACGGGGGGCCTGGCCCAAGGCGCGCGGCGGGCTGGTCACGGCTCCTTCGGTCTCTCGTGCGGCATGAGGTGTCGGCCGATGCTGGTTCTGCTGCCCGATGGCTGATGTCTCGGGGCTTCATGCGCAGTTCCGCCCAGATCTCGCTGTCTCTGGCGGCTCTGCTCGTTTGTGAAGGTCAGGACGAGGTGGCGGTGGCTGTTCAGGAACGAAGTGCTTGGCCGAGGTGGGTTGCAGTGGGTGGTGGTGGTGCTGGAGATGTACTGGCGGTGGGCTGTGGTGAGGATTGCCGCTCGGTTGCTGTTGGCTCTGGTGCTCTCTTCCGGTCGTGTCGAGGCATCCTGGCCCAGGACCACCCATATCTTGCGTCCTTGCTGGCTCGGGTCGACCATGACGAGCAGTGAGGCGATGTGGTGGTTGCTTCCCGGCGGCGTGGTGGCGGCTCGCTGCCGGGAGCACGGCTGGGCATGGCAGGAGGGTGGAGGTTGGCGGATGGTGGATGTGGTGGACTGGCTGGTTTGGTCAGTGGTGTGGGAGACGATGCCGGGCGAAAGTCTGTCTCTGGCTACGGTCGGAGCCAGCAGCAACGGCGTCCGTGGGCGTCGCTGCCTTCTTGAAGGCGCTGCTGTGGTGATGCTCTCCTCTCCCTTACCGTCCCTAGCTCCATGGGAAACCTTAGATCCGTGCTCTTGCGGATCGGATGATGGCGGCGGCTTGCGTCGTGTCCCTCTTGGGGGCATCATTTTGGAGCAGGGATCAGCCGGAGTGACTCGTGTGTGGTTGATGGTAGTGTTCTGTACGGGTCCGGCGGCGGTGCCTTTGTGTCGTCCCTGTTGCTATGCAAGCTCAAGATCCTCCCATGGCTGCCGTTTTGTTGCGGTGAGCTTCGTGCTCTTGGTGTTGTCTCGGTTCTTCTTTGCTCAATGACGCGCAAGAAGCCTCCCCAACCTGCTAATCGTCCCGGATTCACTGGCGGAGCTCCCAGTCAAGGTTCGTGTTTGGCACTCGTTGATTGTGGTGCTCCTGTGTTGCACCGTGGGTTTGGTATGCACGCCGGTGCGGTGCGTTAGGTTGCTCGCAAGTCTTGGTATTGGGATCCCTCAATGAAACTCCACAACTACTTGTGTCTTTCGTGATGATGGTCCTCTTAGTCTGATAGGTATGTCCTGCCTTATGTTGAGTGTCTTGTTCTTCTCCTTTCTTGTAACCTTGTTACTTGTATGGTTTTCGGCCCGGTTTTCCTATAAACGGGTCAGCTTGTTTAGGTTTTCGATCCGGTTTCCCTTATAAACTGGATCACTCTCCTATCATAATGGCCACTTTGAGTAATATATTCAGGTGGAGGGACTCCACCCCCTGTGATTCTCAAAAAAAAAAGTATTATGTACCAAGTGAAAAGCAAGCAAGCCATTCCCCTGGACGTAGGAAGACCAAAGGCAAGACAAAGGGGTGGATAGAGAGATGAATCTTGCGACATGTAAATTGGAAAATCTGTCTTAGTCGCGTGCAACTTGTATCCTAAAACACATCTAGAACTCAATTACTGAACTAATCAGAGATGGTTAAGAATCTGTAGGTTTTATTCCCATATTACTGGATTTTCTTGCACTGTCGTACTAATAGCCAACATTGTCGATGCTGTCTGTGCTCTGCACTCACCATCTGATGAAATCGATGCGGTCGGTGCCGTGGTCGAGCGTGAAGGACTCGTTTGTGTTCTGCTCCGCCTTGCAGCTAACCATCCCCATGAGACCGACCTGCAGATCCCCGTCCCAAATACGAAACTATGTAAGCACTCAATCCCTGACGAACAACCAAGATGGGTGACTCCTTACTCACAAGGGCTCTCCGTCGGATGGAGCTGGATCCGTGCCCGCCGCCGGTGACCTCGGGGACTTCCAAATTTGGCTGCCTGCCCCACCGCCGGTGACCTCGGGGGCTTCCAAGTCCGGCCGTCAGTCCCGCTGCCGCTACTGCCGCCTCGGCTTGAGGGGTAGGACTAGGGGAGATCTGAATGGCGATGGGAGGGGAATGGTGGGGAGCGGCCCGGCGCGGGGTGGTTCAGCGCCGGCGACGGTGGAGCGGCACGGGGTGGTTCAGCGCCGGCGCTGGTGGAGTGGCGGCGGCTGAAGGTTGGTAGGGAGGAGCTGGGAGAAGGGTAATTAGGGTTAGGTTGGCGTGGACTCTGCAGTTAAACGGGTCGGCTCGAAAATTTCAACACCCCGCGCTGGCGACTTAAAATTTTCTTTCACCGCACGCGCTCTCAGTTTTGGTTTCTTTAGGGTTGATTGCATTCGACTGACCCGTGGGCCAAACAAATGGCACATCAGCTAGAACCATCCATGACGGTCCAAATGGTATATGAAGAAAAAAAAGTCTAGGCCCGACTAGGCACAGCTGGTCGATCCGTGACAGTTTTTGTGACGGTCTCTCAAAGTTTGTCATAAAGGGGCTACTATTTTCAGGTCCATTCGTATCTTGCTTATATGTGACGGTTTTCATAACGGATCTCGTGAACGTCACTAGAAATCCGTCATGAATTAACAGATTTCTTGTAGTGGTTGCTAGTTGCAGGTGAAGATTGGAGTTTGTTCCTTGTTGGAACATGATTATTGTTTGGGATATCATTATATTATCTTGTTTATTTTAATGCATCTATACACTTGGTAAAGGGTGGAAGGCTCGGCCTTATGCCTGGTGTTTTGTTCCACTCTTGCCGCCCTAGTTTCTATCATACCGGTGCTATGTTCCTTGATTTTGCGTTCCTTACGCGGTTGGGTTATAATGGGAACCCCTTGACAGTTCGCCTTGAATAAAACTCCTCCAGCAAGGCCCAACCTTGGTTTTACCATTTGCCACCTAAGCCTTTTTCCCTTGGGTTCCATGGACTCAAGGGTCATCTTTATTTAACCCCCCGGGCCAGTGCTCCTCTGAGTGTTGGTCCAACTTGTCAGCCGCCGGTGGCCACCAGGGGAAACTCTGGGTTGGCCTACCGGAAGTTTGGACAATCCGGTGTGCCCTGAGAACAAGATATGTGCAACTACTATCGGGATTTGTCGGCACATCCGGGCGGCTTTGCTGGTCTTATTTTACCATTGTTGAAATGTCTTGTAACCGGGATTCCGAGTCTGATCGAGTCGTCCTGGGAGAAGGAATATCCTTCGTTGACCGTGAGAGCTTGTGATGGGCTAAGTTGGGACACCCCTGCAGGGTTTTAAACTTTGGAAAGCCGTGCCCGCGGTTATGGGCAGATGGGAATTTGTTAATATCTGGTTGTAGAAAACCTGACACTTAACTTAATTAAAATGAATCAACCGCGTGTGTAGCCGTGATGGTCTTTTTTCGGCGGAGTCCGGGAAGAGAACACGGTCTCGTGTTATGCTTGAATGTAAGTAGTTTCAGGATCACTTCTTGATCTTTATAGCTTCTCGACCGTGCTTTGCTTCTCTTCTCGCTCTCATTTGCGTATGTTAGCCACCATATATGCCAGTGCTTGCTGCAGCTCCACCTCACTACCTTTTCCTACGCATAAGCTTAAATAGTCTTGATCGCGAGGGTGTGAGATTGCTGAGTCCCCGTGACTCACAGATTACTTCCAAAACCAGATGCAGGTGCCGATGATGCCAGTCCAGGGGATGCGGCCGAACTCAAGTGGGAGTTCGACGAGGATTCAGGACGTTACTATGTTTCCTTTCCAGACGATCAGTAGTGGAGCCCAGTTGGGGCGATCGGGGATCTTATGCATTTGGAGTTGTCTTTATTTTGGTTCCATAGTCGGATCTTGATTGTATTCTGGATGATGTAATGCTATATTTATGTATTGTGTGAAGTGGCGATTGTAAGCCAACTCTTTATCTCTTTCTTATTCAGTACATGGGATGTGTAAAGATTACCCCTCTTGTGACATGCCTACAATGCGGCTATGCCTCTAAGTCGTGCTCCGACACGTGGGAGATATAGCCGCATCGTGGGTGTTACATAAGGCCCAACCCTTCTGTTTTTACTTCTTCCATCTCCGAATTGCCTTTTATAAACTTCTAGCTTGTTTGCTTATGACAACACTGGCGAAAGGTCACCGAGGTATTTTATAGTCCCGCCCCATAGCCGGAGGACCACAACCGGGAGCTAGATCCCGGGTTCGAAGAGGATCCGGATATATTTGTGGTGCTTGCGGAGGGAGTGTTCTACCAGACAAGCTATGACGGCACAGAAGTGGCCATCACCGTAGACTATCCTGGCCTTCTTCCTGCTTCTCATGTAAATAATTAAGAAAACACCTTCTCTAAAAGAGTACTCTTATTCTGTCTCACTCATCGCACCGTATCGTGCTTCACAGGGGAGACGTTCGGCAACTTCGAAGAGATCGGCTCCCGCGCCGGACAATCCTTCCAAGCGGAGAGCAAATGAAGATACGGTCGCGCCTTCATCGAAGAGGTATGAATTCGCCAACCTGCCCCTGAGCAGTCACGTCCAACCGTGACCTTCCCGTTTTCCATTTGCCAGGAGGAAGGCGCGCCGGACTATATCCGGGGGTCCGACCGACCGTACTTCCCACAGCCAGGATTCAAATCCTGCCGTGAAGATGGGGGCTGATGCAACGGCGATGCCGGACTGTCCTCCAGTCGAGGACTCGGACGATGTATCCGTCAACAACTCAGAAGTGCAGACACTAGTAGAAAAAGGGTCAAACGTGAAGCACATTAGTGCCGGTTTGAATTTGAGCCGGCACTAATGGTACCATTAGTGCCGGTTTGAACGGCTATGCATTAATGCCGGTTCGTGTTGAACCTTTAGTACCGGTTCGTGGCACGAACCGGTACTAAAGGGGTGATGGCAGGCTGGCGTCAGGCCGGGGCCCCACGATCACCTTTAGTACCGGTTCGTGTCACAAACCGGTACTAAAGGGCTAACCTTTAGTACCGGTTTGTGCCACGAACTGGTACTAAAGGGGTCTGACCTATAGTGCCGGTTTGTGACACAAACCGGCACTATGGGGCAATTTTCAAACTCTACCCCCCCCCCCCCGTGTGTCGCCATTTCAGTTCTGAAAAAATCAAAAGAAAATGATAAAAACTTCAAAAAATAAAATCCTTCGAGAGGTAGTTATATTACTACATCTACTAGTTAGGAAAATTAGAAAACTTAAATTTGGACATGTTTTGCAAAAAGTGTAGGGAAAATGTAAAACGACTATAACTTTTGCATACGATGTCTGAAAAAATGTATAATATATCAAAAAATTCAGCACGAAAATCCGCATCCGATGGAGACCGCCTACGGCCTGTTTGCAATTTTTTAGAATCCTCAAATTCTAAAAGGAAAAAAAGATATGGTCAAATTTAAGTTTTTTTTAAAAAAAAATTGTTAAATCTGGTCAAACTACTTATTCAAGAAGTATTAATGT